TATATATATATATATTAAGGTATCTTCTTAAATCTCTTCAGTCCATGTCTTGACCTCTATAGTCTACTATAATAAAGCAGGCCTAAGCGTCTCATTCAACCTTAAACAAATCTATAAGCAAAATATTGCATAACTCCTATTGTAAGTTTTCTCTATCTTATTAACTTGATTACACCTTGTTGCTATCTTCTCCACTTTGTAAAAGTCTGCTCTTTAAGTAGATATTATTTCTTGTTCGTTTTTTCCTGGGATTCCTTAATCTAGGCAATTTTAGCTGTTATATTCATCTTTAACATTTAATTTGTCTGACGTTGCTCCTAAATAAAAAGTGGATTTGATTTTGAACCTTTCCTTTTCCTCTTTTTAGTCCAAAATTGAATTTAATAGCCTTAAGTCGACGTAGATCTGATCGTGGATTGGATATCGTGTTTTTTGAGCTCAATTGTCAACTGCATGGCGAGTTTTCACTCTTTCCTGACCTTACTGGGGAGGTTCCATATTATATTGAAGTCATCAAATTCAACCAGACAGGTGACCTGCTAGCTGTGCTATCTTTACATACTACATATGCTGGTGCCTGTTCGAGTAAGTTGACTAAAAATTTTGAATTCTGGCTACGCGTCAATTGACTCGATTTGGAATTTCCTCGAATAAATACACGGTACCTATATTATCCTAGTACTATACTACATTACGTTAGCTTCGCCGAGATTCGAGTCAAATATGACAGGCATGAAATGGCACATGACAAACTAATAAATTACGATGGAGACAAGCTATTATAGACAAACTTGTAATTTCCATAGAAATGGAACAGGCTGAGTGATATTAGTGGACTACTTCTAAGTTTTAATGTAATATTTACAATTGTTAAAAGTCTTGGTATGTCAATTTGAAGGATTTGATGGCTCAAGGAAATTCCCGGATTTTCTTCCTGCCAAAGGGTTATGCTATTCGAAATGGTAATATAGTATTCGAAAAATTCCAGGCAGTTATACAAATATGATATCACTACTAATTTTTAAAAAATTAATTGTATGACATCGTTTTTAAGCATGAACTCTGCTATGTTAACAGTCATAAGTTAAAATAGATAATAAAATATTACTGTGATATAAGCCTCAAACATTATTGGGGTATGCAAGCAATATAGGCAAATCACAATTATGAGTCG